GCATACTAAAATGTGGAACAACTAAAATTGCAACAGTGTGTGCAAAAAAAAAAAAAAACCTGCTGGAGATCGCGGTCTGACTTGGAGGAAGCTGGCACCGTCGGTACAAGCGAGAGGTGAGAACCGTTGCTTCTAGCTGAACACATTTGTGACTAATTTAAATGGCAGAAAATTCAGTGTTTGTCATTTCTTCTTTTTTTTTTTTTGAACACATTTTTCTCAATGGAAATAATTTGAATCAAAAACCGAGACCAATATTGCCACACGAAAAAGAAAACGTTGTAAAAATGGCCCTTTCCCAACAAACACTCCTCTCATACATTTTAATAAAAATACTGTTTAAATCTTTGAGATGATTTTATCTTTATCTTTAAATGAAAAACTATGGGCCTTAAGCCATAAATATGTCTCTAAGAGAACTTAATGCCACTAAAATCCGTTTGGGCAAAGAATGTTGTGTCAGCTGCATATTTCTTTAAAAAACACTTTCATTTCCTGTCACTGCGTTATGGTGTCTTGTGCTTCTCTTTTCATTTGGTGTCAGAGGTGTTATAAATGGGTTCGGCATTCAGAAACAGTCAGTGAAATAACAAAGTGTTAGTAAAACACGTCCAGTTTTAGAGGTAGTGGGCTTGAACCCCCGTCCGTCCCCCCCTCGCCTCCCCTCACTCACTCAGACTAGTCTTTATTATTCTTCTGAATGTTAATGTCCAATTCATAAGAATGAGCGATAAGCCTTATATAACACAACTGACCGTGGCCCCTGATCATAAAGCAGCATGAGCTGCTATAAATATAGTGAATAGTTTTGTTTTGTTTTTTACCATAAGTAAAAGTACACGTGGCTGGCAAACTTATCACAGCAAAAGGAGCTACTTCCTCCTTTTCATTCTCGGTGTTCTTCTTTGATATTGAAGTTACCATCACGTTGACCTTTTATGGTATCGTTGCAATCATTGACACAGCTTGGCTTTGTCAGTGTGAATTAAACGCCAGAAAATAATGTTTCCCCCATTTTATAAGCCCTGAGTAAAATACATTTTCTGAAAAAAAAAACAAAATACGTTATTGATCCCAATTAGGTGCAAGGCATGTGGGAATCGAACCCACGACTCTCTGCTTCCGAGGCATATTACATTTAGTTTGAGATTAGAACTCAAAAATCTAATAAAAAAAAAATCAAATCTATTAAATTAGCATTGTTTTATTCTATACTGCTGCACTTATCACAAAAAAAAGTAGCATGCTACAAAGTCGAAGTTTTTGTGGGCAGGATTGACAAATTGCGCAGTTGCTGGATCAAGTCAATGTCGGTCTTTGTAAACATCATGGTACCGCAGCGTCACGTTTTGCATCCTTTTTTTTTTTAGTCCCCGGAGTAAGTGTTATGTAAAAGTCAGCGACCTTCTGACTGTTGCAAAACTTTGCAATAAAGTTTTTTTGGCTGTGCTACAGAGCACAGAACGACGACGAGCTCTGAAAATTGTTACCAGACAAGTGTGCCAAACAAAACACCAAGTACCGAGATAGAGAGAGGGGGAGAGGCAGAGATAAGAGACAGTGAAGGACAAAGAGAGACAGAGGAGGACAGACAGCGAGAGAGAGAGAGAGAGTTGTATTATTTGACATTTATTGGCCAATCCTGCGTTGTTTCCAAACTCAATCCATGCACGTGCAGAAAAGCCAAGCTCACTGCTACTGAACACAACACATGTTACTACACTCTCACAGGCCCGTCAAGTCCATTCAGGTTTGGTACTGTACCTATCACTGTGGGCCTTAGAGTCCCTTAATTTGCTGCCTGATTGGAAGACCTGGTAGAAAGCCTTGGAGGGGTTCCTGTGTGTCATTCAGGAGAACATGGAAAGGACAAAAAAAAAAAAGAAAGAAAAAAAAGAGAGAGAGAGAAAGAGACAAGACAGGGAGGATTTGAAACAGTGAAGGCAGAAGTCTGGAGCTGTGATTCCTAGAAATGTTAGTTGTGGAACACACTGGCTCACAAAGTTGCCCACAGAAAACGCTCTCAGTTGTAGTTGAGAGCTTACGGGGCCGAGGACGGGACGGGGCGGGACGTGAAGACGAAGCCAGGCGGAGAGGAGTTTAAACCTAAACACAGGGATGTGTGTTCAAAGGTGAGGGTTTCAGAAAGCTCGAACAAGTTTCCCCTCGGGACATTCACCAGCAATGTTTGTGCGTCACACCCCTGTTGCTGTTGTTTTCACAACACGGTGAGAAAAAAAAAATAGAAAAAAAAAAAAAGTGAGGCAAAAGACGTCGACGCTGTTGTTTATATACGTGTCAGGAAATTTAACGTAACTGCCAACATTCCGGCTGATTAGCTCCAACAGTACATTATGTTCTATTCCAGAGGATGTATGTTGGTTTGGAGAGGAAACCCACACTGACCTCAACACACACACACACACACTAAGAAATAAGAGAGAGAGAGAGCACACTGAGGAATCAGGAGTTGATTTACAGCATGTGTGTGAATATTATAGCAGCCAATTTTTTTTTTCCTCGAAATCCGTGGCACAAACTCCCTTTGTCACATTACCTCATGTCTAAACACTCTTACTTACGTCCTCCTCCCTAGCCTCCCGCTCAATACTGCTGCGCGGCCAACGGCACGCAAAAAAGTGCACGTTCGGCGTACGCACACACACACACACCTCCACAGAGAACCTCTGTCTCTGTCTCTATCTGTTGCACCGAGGGTGAACTCAGAATAGCACAAGTGATGAAGCAGCTTAAATCACGGAGGTCAGATGACTTGGAAGACCGGCAACCTCTTCGTGGAAGAGGAGGAGTCGTGGTGGTGCTCTCTGTTTTTAAGTAGCCAACACCGAGGGCTCTCAATGGCTCTCTTTGTGGCTCTAAAAATGAAATATGTCAATATCCTTTCATGAAAGCGCCTCATTGTAAACAGACCGGTCACTGCCTTCAGCTGTGCCGGGGTTTTTTTTTAGCAACCAACTCAAAGACCAGTTTGCTCTGAGACTTTTGCCTGATACTTGCCACAAAGCCAACATTTGAACGGTAGAGCGGACCGAAATAAACTCCTGCTATCAGACATGCAGCGGCAACACGACGTGACGAGCCTTCCTCTTCTGTCCGTGCTGCGAAACCAGATGTTACGGCAACAGTTTACCTTCATGCTTATTTTCCCTTGTAATAACCGTGTGAACTCAGGGAGCACTTGAAACACGGGGAAGCCCAGAGCGATGACCTTGGGAGGTCAGGCGCGAGGAGAAACGAAAGGGGGAGAGGAGAGCAAAGAGAGGGGGGAAAAATAAATACATTTAAAACAAGAATGCCTCTGTAGGTACTTGACAAATAGTAATTCAAGTTTATCTTGAACTGGTTTGTTAAATAAATGTTCTTAAACTAGACTTGCCTTTCTCTGGTTTGTTAAATAAATGTTTCAAATGTTCTTAAACTAGACTTGCCTTTCGTTTTAAGTTTGCGTCTCAGCTTCTGTGTTCAGTCTCCCACATTTATGTGACGTGAAGCAGAGCTCCTGTGTTCAGTCTCCCACATTTATGTGAAATTACGGTCGACATATTGAAATGTTTTTGAAAAAACTACTGCGCATATACACGCGATGAGATTAGCAAACAGGCTACTAGTCTTTGTGTTTGTTTATAATTCATTCAGGTGGACAAGGCCACCAAGTGTTAGTGGATTTCCAGCAGAGTTTTCCACGGCTTCAGTCGGCCAAGGCTTTCGTTGGATGATTGCAGCGCTACTCACCACCATCCACCAACTTGTCACACAGCTGAAGTAGGTCAAAGGTATTTAGATTTCAGATTCCCTATGGGAGATTCTTTCAACATAGTTAAGGGTTTGTAGTCAGAAAAAAAAAAAAAAAAACGGAACAGAGGAAGAACCAAGTGAGATTAGCAAAGATTTATGCCAGAAAATTCAACATCCCTACTACTGTGAAAACCCCCGTGAGCCCAGCGTATATATGTAGAGTGGTGGTTCTCAAACTGCGGTACGCGGACCACCAGTGGTACGCCAGCGCTTTCTAGTGGTACGCGGGGAAAATTCATATTTTCACTTTTACATTTTCAATCGAATAAATCTGATAATTCTAAATCTGAAACTCCTTGTGTGACAATGCTCCAATAATGATAATAATAATGATAATAATAATAATTTGAGCGAACCCAATCAAGGGAAATTGTTGTGCCCAACGGGACACACCAAATACGTGGTTCCTCTGGGGCTCGAACCCAGGACCTTCTACATGTAGGGCACACGTGTAAACAGGTGCGATAACCGCTAACATTACGGACCCATTAACATTAATACTGAGTGCTGCTTTACAGGTGATAAATTACACGGACTTGTTGTGAAAGGTTTAGCAGAAATAATTAAAGACCCGCAAAGTGGCTGCCCGTGTGCCACTCCGAATGAAACGAGCCCACAAAATGTCATGTGATACAACTGGAGAGCCCCTACGAGGAAGTGGGTGGGTGGGGGGGGGGGGTTGAGGAGTATTAAAGGAACAGAAGGCAGCAATGTGAGGCACCAACTGAAAACAGGATACGGCAGTAAAGGTCGCAGCAGAGAGGGGAAGGATCGAGAACACGGACGTACTCAAAAGCACTGCTACTACACATCTACTAACTGCGTGTCCAGTCGCTCACTTCCACAGGAGGCCCTTCACGCCGTCATCGACCGTCGCCAAAAAAAACGCACGGTACATGTGCACATGCTGAGTCAACCTCACCTCTTTTTTTTTTTTCAAAGACACACCCCCCTCACATCCACCAACACAGTCTCTTGATTCATGGCGGCAGTAACTGCTGCACTTCATCACAGTCCTGGCCACCTCCCCCTTAACCTCCTCCTCCTATAATTTCCTCCTTGTCCTCTTCCATCTCTCTTCGTTTCTCCTTCCCCGACAAATTGAGATGCGCAGAGCTCCAATTAAACACAAATCCAATCCAATAACTATATTAATTAATTACGGGTTGTTTTTTTTTTTGTTGCAAGTTACACAACAAACGAAGGTGATCCACTTTGTGCCAACGCCATAACATGAAAGCAAATCCTAGATAGGATCCAGAACAAAGTATGCGACCGTATCTTTACAGAATTTACAAGTTTTGAATACAGGCCGAAAAGCCCTGAGTTTAAAAGGGGCTTTTGTTTGCCGTGTGTGGGGCAGCAAGGGACTAAATAAACACAGGAGTGGAAATGTGGAAATTAAGCAAGAAGAAAAAGGCTGGTTTTTGGAGCAGGAGGGAAGAGAGGGAGGGAGGGAGGGAGGGGTGAGGGGGGGAGCGACGAGCACAGCTAAAATGCCGGCGAGTGGCTCTGCAGTTACCTCCGCAGTTGCTTCTGCAGCTGAAATGTCATTCAGCGACTCTTCTGAACAAGAACATCTGCCAAGACGTGTCAGTCAGTCTGTGGTTGAGAAGGTACAGAGCACAGGCGGCGCTTGAAGCTGCACCAGGCGTTATAAAAGAGGAGATATACAATATCAATCAGCGCCAACTGGTTACATGGGCCGGAAAAGGATTCCGCGTGCAAACGTACTGTTAGGGTTTTTGACTATCTCTAGACAGAAGATCGTGTACGGGCTTTAGCATGTTACTGTTAGAAGGAAAAAAAAGGCCACATTTAGGCCTCACGCTCACAGTTGACTGACACTCCCCACTGTCAGGGCTCTTATCGACAGATTATGGGCACAGTGGAAAGACCACTGTTCAATGTCTGATAGTGCCGTCGGTCGTAAGAGACCCCGCATTCTTATCAGCATGGGAGCTGGGTCTTCTCGCAAGCGATGCGTAGGTGCTACGATAACAACAGCAACCGAGTTTGGGGGGCATTGTTAGAGAACTGACAAACCGACAACGTTTGGATGAAATTTGAGGACGTCGTTCAAATGTTAATCTGTCGACCAAGAACTTCAAAAACACAACCTTGGTACAGAGATTTCACTCAGGTACCGTTCAACGCCGCTTTCATTATGATGACTTATCGGACAGTACCTACACGCCACTGTCACACGTTTGAAACTCACATTGTGTGTTCTAAACAAGGCCCTCAAACTGCCCCCTCAGAACTTTTTCCCAACCACAAGCAGCTGTCTTTCAGTGACCATAGAGATACCACAGTGACAGAACCCTCTTCGAACACAATTGCAAATAAAAATGTCATAAGGCGATTTGAGGTCTAGTTAATAACGTTGGCCCTTTAGCATTTTTTTACGGCTTTTGATAACGATGTGTACAAATCGGTATTAGAAAAAGAAAAGCCACTTAGTCCCACGCGCACGGAGCTCCTTGTCCCTTGGTACCACTGCGGGAATCAGGAGTTTAACTAAAGTACTTAGCTGCTTCTTGGCCCCACAGGTACTAGCTCAACAACCTTTGCACACACTGCTCAGAAAACGCCCCTCCAACACGAGTCTATATCTGACTTCTGAATGATAACCTACACACGACGTGCAGACACTTTGGTGCAGTTTTCCCGATGGAAACGTCATATATCAGATTCTGACTTTTTTTTTTTTTTTTTTTTTTGCACACACATACACCCTCTTTTTTCTTTCCCTCTACTTCGTCTCCCTTCCCCGGTTTCTCCTTTCACTCCAACTGGCCGAGGCACATGGCTGGACACCTCGGAGCCCGGTTCTGCCAGGGATTTTTCTCCTTTTTAAATTAGTTGTTTTCACTGCTCTGGTGTAATGAGCTCGGTCACTGTATGAATTGTAGAGTTTAGCTTTGTCTATGCAACTTTTTTTAAAATCTCTAATGCAGCGGTTTTTAAAAGTGGGGGGCCTTAAAAAATTAACATTAACATAGTGATTATTTTTTTTGATCAATACTTACATTCATTAATATGCTGCAAACACAGCATGTTTACTTAAATAAATAATAAATAAACAATACAAATACTACTACTACCACAAACTGGATGCACGATAGTATCTAAATCTTGTTTGATAGACTGGGCTTCACCGCACGGAAACCCGGTGCCAGTTTAATGTGCACATGTAGTCTAGTCCGTGTCCTGGTGGTTCATCTGCAAGACTGTACATGGAAACCACAGATTTCAAGCACAGTATCATTTCCGCTCACGAGTGCCAGCTACTACAAGTGAAACAAAGCGCTTAAAGTCAGGAAGTGAGAGGAAGATAGCACTGGAAAGGAAGCTAATGTCGTCACAGCAATGTGATAGGAAAAGAGCGATAAGAACGTGACTCTTCGAAGCGTGTCGCGTCTGTACAGTTACGTTCATACTGAAGTGGAGCCGTATGCCCAAGAGGTTTCTAAAACAAGGTTTTGAATGTCCCGTATAGGCAGTTACTGTGGGAAACTATATGCAGTGATCCACCTGCATAAATAAATGATGAGCTTATGATTATTATTATGTACAGACAAAAGAAATATAGTGTCACAAAAAAATGTAAAGATCGTCGTCTCGGGTGACAGACCGATCGGGATCTATGCTTCCAATGACATTTAGATTTTAAGGAAGTCAATGAAGTTTTGTTATTGTCCAAAAAGAGCCAATCACAGCACGGCTATTTTAATTTTGACTGAATATTAAGTATTTCATTTTCGTCATGAATGTGGTTATATTTTTACAGTATTAAAGAGCAAAAATCAATGGTTGCTCCAATGTCTTTTCTTGTGCTGTAAGAGACTATTTTTGTGCTGTACTTTTTTTTTTTTTTAAATGTAAAACTAAAGACGGCATTTTGCAGGAAACAACAGAGCGAGGGATGAAGTATTTCGGTGCAGGTCTGGACAAAACCTGTATTAATGACATTATTCACTCCTGACACTGACTCAATAACGGGCCACGTCCCAACTTTTGAGAAACACATAAGTCAGCTTACTCATCTCTAGGGGAGAAAACATGATATCATACAATGGTAGCACAAAGGATCGTGTCTCTATTACGCAGGTCATTTCCAGAGCAGGAACCAACTGACTGAAAGGTCAGAAATGTGACACATTCACCAGAGTGACCAATGGCAGCCTGGAGCCGAGTGAACTTTCATACGCCCCCAACCAGCCAAACATCTTTGATGTGAAGGCTATCACGTCAGGCATCCTGGGGAGGACAGATAAACCGGAGGAAAACAGAACCCACGGACAACCTACCACATATACACAAACACACCCTTAAACAACACCAGTGAATCACAGCAATGCATAGGTCATGTGTTTTCAACAAGTTGTTGCCTGCATGTTTTGGTTTTTTTTTTTCAACATATTGAATTTTACATTAGCCACAGTTGTGTCCTGTGCTAATGCTTACCTTTGTAATGTCCCTAAAAGTGAGGATGGGTTTGTGTCTATTTAAAAAGTAAACAACAATACTAAAACTGTGGAAAAGACAAGTATTCAATGACAAAGGCGCTTTGCAGTTTAAATTGTGCCGTTTGCATACAGACAAACAGTCACTGAACTAAAACGAAAAAATATTCAGACACACTCTAAACATTTAAAAAGCTTCTAATTGTTACCTGTCCTCCTCCCCGTCCACAGGTATGTGGATTCCAAACAGGCTGTTGACAGCTGGCGTGGTGAGCTGCAGGCTCTCAGGCATGAGTGGCTTTGCTGGTTCCTTTCCCTCTGGCTTCTTGACAACACCGCCACCCTCCACCTGCACGAATCCAGGTGCCGCGTGGCCCTGCGGCCCCAGGGCCGCTGGAGTCTTGCTCTGACCTAGAGGCAAACTAGAAGCTGTCACATTTGGCATGGCTACAATGGAGGCACTGGGCACAGCACTGGGCACAGCAACGGGCACAGCGGTGGGTGCACTCGAGCTCACTGCGACGGCAGGCACACTTTGTACTGTGGAGGGTGTAGGATGGAGAGCCTGGGGCTGTCCAGCAGCTGCATACTGACTCAGAGTCTGCTGCAGCTGTAAACTGGAGCCACCAGCGAGCATGGAACCGCCAACACTCACTACTCCTACTGGCTGTTGCTGCAAGACCATGGCTGGCCCCGTGGGCACAGACCCACTCGCGGCACCGGCGATTTCTCCAACCTGACTCGGTAGGCAACTCCCACCAGATGTTGAAGGAATAACAGATGTTGGGCCCTGATTCCAAGGCTGCAAGCCTGCAGAGAGACTGGACACAGGAAGAGACTGGCTGGGCTGCTGTGGCTGGGTGGCCAAGGGATGCTGAGGAGGGTAGGCAGCAGGCTGGGCTGATGGTGGCATGATGGGTGACTTTTGTATTTGGACAGCAGATTGAGGCAAACCATTCAGTCCAACAGGCAGACCACTCTGGGGAGCAGAAGGCTGGAGACCTCCTCCTGTCGGCTGAACTTGTCCAGAAGTGGGCTTGACGCTGGAACTGAAGCTTTGTTGGCGGATTTGTTGCTGCTGTTGCGGTTGCGTTGCCTCCACCGGATGCATGCGGGGCGAAGACAGAGATGCTTCCGCCAGAGCACTTGAGCCATGTCCTGAGTGTGTCGCAGAAGAAGCCACAGAGACGAGCCCTTTGTCTCTGTCTGCGGTGGAGTCCAACGTTGCACTGGCATGTCGAATACTATCTGCAGTCCGACTGTCAGAGTCTTTCTCGTAAAACTCCGTACACGTCCACCTGCCTCTCCGGAATGGCTCCCCAGTACCATGGTCAAGTTTGATTACCCTAAATCGAGAAGTGCAGCTTACCGTGGATGTGGCAGGAGAAGCAACAGAACCAGTCACAGCAGCAGTTTGAGATGTGTTTACTGACACATTGCTGGTCCCAGAACTAGCTCCTGGAGCAGACTGATGATGATGTTGTTGATGTTGTTGTTGTTGTTGTTGTTGTTGTTGCAGCAATGCCCCAGGGTGAGAAATAAGGGATAAACCAGTTGTAACAGCAGCCCCCTGTGGCTGCTGACCACCTTGAGCTGACCCAGACACTCCCACTTTCCGAAAATCCCCAATGGGACTATTTGACAGCGCAGACAAGTTACCACCTTGAGGTATTTGTGACGAAGCCATGACACCGACCGCCTCTGGCTCTCCAACATTATTCAGCGCTTCTTCTGAAGAACTTCTGTCATTCGCAGGCTCGTATTCTGCACGAGAAAGATCGTAAATCTCTGACGACACATCCTCGGTGCGGGATTCGTCCGGGTCGTCCAGACTCTCGGTGTCGTCTGCGCCACCTATAACCGCTGCCTGGGCCTGAGTCACACTGGTGATCTGGAAACAGCTTTTCTTTTTGGCCGGCATTTTCGACATGTTTAGAGCCTGATTCCGAACCCCGTATGGCTACGTTTATCGTCTGTGTATCTGGTTAGCAGCTTAAATCATGTTAGAGATCACTTTCCGACTATTTCACGTATCCTAGTTCACTGTAGTCGAGAGGAATCTGGGCGATTCTTCTTCCTGCCTTGGTCTGCTGTTTGCTTTCATGAGCTCATACTGACCTACGTCGCTTCGTATTGCGATGCGGGTTGGAGTCGCAGTAAACGATGCGTTGATAAATCCACAGGTGACGGCAAAGGTCTGGGCCCTCCTGCTTTTATATCACCCGGCTGTCCAGCTGTCACACGGCCGCTGCTGAGCCGTTGACGCAGAATGCGCTGCCCAGCTACAGGAGCTAGTGGAGGCTAAGCTAAGTGTGGCTGACGCTGCTGCCGCCGCTGCACACCCCCCTACGTCGGAACAAGTATGTGAGACATCTTCCTGGACAGTCTTGTCAGCAGCCGCTCACTCCACCCGCTTATTTAAGTCATTCAGTGGTGACACGTCTCTTAAAGCTTCGGTGTGGTCCACATACGGAGGGGCGAAGTTAAAATCCACATTTGGACAAATAAACGAGAACCTTTAAAAGAGCTCCAGCAGTTCCTCCCTTTTGCTTCTTCTCAGCTTCTGCTTCTTTTTCTTCTCCTCCGCCTCCTTCTTCTTCTTCGCCGCAGTCCTCATTCGTCGTCGCGCCCCCTTCTTCTTCTTCTTCCTGCTTTAACGGCGGTTGCAAAATAGCGTGACCGGTGCATTACCGCCATCTGCTGTTTTTTGTGCTATCTGGCAACACATTAGGAGAATGCAATTTTAAAATGAATCTGCATATTCGTGGTTTTAATCTAATAAAAAGCATTGTATATTATTAAATGTATTTTAAACATAATTTAAATTACTAAAAAAGCTTCCAGTGTTAATTAAATAATGCCAAACTGTAGAAATGCTGTCCTTTGATGTGAGTGACTCACTACAAGCTAAACCCTATGTAATTGGTTTTAGATTGGTGGAATTATCAATCGACGACGTTGTGTTTGCTTTGTTTTGAACATATAAAAATGAAAATATATCATACATTTTTGTATGGTTTGAAAAAGAGCCAATGAACCCGAAATAAACTATAGGCCTAGAGCTTCACAAGTCATAGGTAATATTGCCCCTAGTGGCCAATGGATGTATTGTATATGTTTTGATTGGGTGAAAATAATGTGTTTACAATCTATTGCAATAGGTAATTAAAATTAAATTTAAAAAACGTATCAAAAAAGGCAGGCCTCTGGACAAAGTCCCTCCCCTCGTAAGCAATATTCAAGAAGACCAAATGACAATTAGGACCAAGTTCTGTCACTGATTGCAACATTCTTTTAGTTTCCATATTCAGTTTTTAATGTACAATTTCTTTGCACGTGCCAGTTTCGTCCTGAACAATGTTAATCCCACAAAACATTTGATAACTTCAAATATCCTTGCACTGTTGTAATATATATATATAACGCAGTAGCTAGAAATATTAACCACCAGTGTTACACTTTAACTTTGTTCTGTGAATGAAAATAACCACATTGACAGTTCAATTTGACCTTGTAGTACGAAATGCTTTATCATTCAGAAGCACAGTATTTTAAGGGGGGGGGTCTAAAAGTATTGTTCTTGTTGTTCTGTGAAAATCTAAAAATCAAAGCTATCTTTTGACTTTGATCAAAGTGTATGATCGCCTAGGGTCTAGGTATTCGTGTCCATGTCTCTGGCCGATGTAACGGGTTTTTTTTTTTTAATATTTGGATGTATGAATGGATGTGTAATTAAATCAGAAGAAGAGAAGCTCCTCATTCCTTCACACAGTGAGATTCGGTGTGAACTGATAAGTCCTTTCTTTATTTCGCCGTTTCTTGCCTTTTATAAAAGTGCCGGCTGCTTATTGTGCGGAGTGATCTGATAGGGACTACACCCAGCAGCAGCCGCCGCCGCCGCAGCCGCTGTTGTTACTGCTGCCACCGCCGCCTCATTGCCCTGGCTTTTTTTTGCTACCCCAGCCTTGACGTTGCCTAACGTCGAAGTGCGGGTTTGATTGGAGACTCTAAATTCGTCTGTATTTTTTCCTCCCTCCCACCCGTTGGAAAACGATTTTCTTCCAAAGCCGCAGTGAAAAGATTTGTTCAGATTTTGTTCTGTGTGTGAATAGCACCAATTGGTTCAGAATGTCTTGGCAAAGCTACGTGGAGAACCTGATGGCCGATGGCAGCTGTCAAGATAGCGCCATTGTTGGGTATACGGACGCCAAATATGTTTGGGCAGCACATGCCGGCGGTACATTCAACAATATCTCGGTAAGAATGATTAAAGGATAAGATATTAAGGCAACACTTGTTTCCGTCTGGCAGCGTTGCCAAGATGAATCAGCCGAGCGTTCGCCCGTCGCACTCGCTAGCGCTGAAACCCGTTATCTCTTAGGAAATAAATGAGGAGCTCAGCTAACGGTGCTAGCAAGCTAACTGGCTCATTGGCCTTTCGCCGCTATTCCCTCTAAAGGAAATGCTGCGGGATTAGGGACCTCGTGGAGCCCGCATTAAAAGCTTAGTGCATTTGAGACATGTTGCAAAATTAGGAATAGTTTGTTGCAAACTGTTATTATATTTTCAAATAAGAGGGCTGACGGCATGCGAGTGGAGGAAGCCCGCTTTTGTGTTCACGGCCGCTCTGATTTGGAAAAAAAAAACCCCGTTAAAACCGCCGGTTTAACCGGTTAACGGTAAATGACAGGGATTATCGATAGCAAAACTATGATAAACTCGTCTTCAAGCGTAATTACACATCGAAAATTGTACTGTACAGGCCAAGGGGGGTTTATATGTATTCATATTCTAGTATGTTCCATGTCTGAGTCAATTCAGTGACAATGACAATGCTATTAGAACAGAGGCGCCTCTGTCCCCGTTCTCTGCGCCTCTTCCTGTAATAAGATTACCCTTAAATTCATTATCCATGTCATCAAAAATAAAAGTATAAACATGTTTTCAAGCTATATTTTCACGCCTGCTGTCACATTGGTCAGGGTCAATTCCTGAAGTTACTTTTCCTAAAGCAGCAATACCAATATTTAAACAAGGACACCCCTACATTTTATGTTGGTATAATATTGACACAAAATAAAAAAATAAAACATTCTTCAATTATGCTCACTGTCATTTTTTTGGTTCTTATCAATATAGTTCAGACATGTAAGTGAAGCAGTACTTATCCAACTTTTTTTGCCAGTATAATTATTCCACAAAATGGTGAAAAAACGCTTGCAAACACCTTCCTAAATCTTAATATTATCAAATTGCCTTTAATCGTATGTCGTTTCTTCGATTTTCAGACTCAAGAAATTGACACCCTTATCGGGAAGGACAGGGAGACCTTTTACACCAGTGGTCTCACTTTAGGTTCAAAGAAATGTTCTGTGCTCAGAGACAGCCTTCAGAACGATGGCGACTGGACAATGGACATCAGGACAAAGAGCCAAGGAGGAGAGCCTACATACAACATCTCTGTGGGAAGAGCTGGAAAAGGTAGGGAACCATATAACAACTGGTGACCCCCCCAGTGGTAAATGTTGTCATGAGTGTGACCTCATTTGTTTTGTTTTTTTTCCCATCATTTTCAACACAATGTTATTATCTGCTGTGACCATGACATGAGCAAGTATTGGCTACAGAAAAATGTCACATTTAAAAAGTGAAATACTGCATATTTAAATATTTTGGCTAGTACTTAAGTATATTAGAAAAAATATTTTAAAAAAATTAATTGAACAATTTTGTTTACACAGGATAGAAATACATTTTTTTGATCATTTTACTATTAGTCAAAATGTTAATTGGATGGGCTTGATTTAAACCAATTATGTTAGCCATAGAGGTTTGCCAACTGAATACTGTTTGCCTTTGTGGTCCTCTGAAACTGCACCAGTCTTTCTCCTATTTGACCGGATTCCTGGGTTTGCTTACAGCTTGCACTAAATCGAATGGACTAAAACACTGATTGATAGAAAGTTTTCACTCTATTTTCTTTTTTACTTTTCTGTCACCACCATTCTCTACACTATTTGTACTTTCTGGGAATGTAGTTGGAAAAATCTACACGAACAAATGTGCATGCTAATGTTTTAACTTTCTCCCTGTTCGTCTGTTGCATGCGTCTAAGTAGTAATGTCTTGGTTTCTAAGAGCAAGTTGCCTCCATGAGACTATCACGCTCCAGCGGTATATTCATTGTTCTAATTTTTTACAGCTTAAGTATGGCAGAGGTTAAACTGTGTAATTAAAACAACCTTAAACACAGTCATTGACAACATTGATCCACTGAATATTAAAAAAAACACCCCAGTCTGAGCCAGTGATTAATTGTAGCAGGACTGGCCGGCGATTATAGGAAACTTGACTATTTCCACTGGTGAGCATTAAAAAAAAAAATCACAATTTGTATTTTAAAATAACTATAATGTTACTACAAAATAGTAACAAAAAGACATTGAACGGTGAATAACAATGCAAGGAAATTGCAGATGGTCTCACATCTTTGCATGATGCAGCGTATAGTCTCCGCGCACTGCACTTTTTCTTGAAAGGGTTTTTTTATACCCTTTTACTTTTCTTAACTCTCCCCCTTTCATTTCTTCTCTTTCAGTTTTGGTTCTTGTAATGGGCAAAGAAGGGGTCCATGGAGGTGGATTGAATAAGAAGGCTTACTCAATGGCAAAATACTTGAGGGATTCAGGATTTTAATGTTTTCAAGCTCAAACAGATTAAAGAAAATTGATGGACAAAAAAAAAGAAGAGAAAAGAAATCTCACTGTAAACATTTCTCTTGCAAGCAGTCAAATGTCTTGGAAACTTTTTAATAGCAATGAAGAGTGGTAAGATACTGTGTCACCTTTTCCCCACCCCCCCGTTCGTCCTGAAGGGGGGGAGGACTCTTCAGTTTTATTCATTTCTCTTTTTTTCCTTGTGCTCCAGTTTTGGTTTTTTTAATGGGAAAGGAGGGTACCCATGGTGGAACTCTTAACAAGAAAGCATTTGGAATGGCGGACCACCTGAGGAAGTGTGGATACTGAGCAACCTCTCGCTCATTCATCACTTTTGCAGCTCGCTCGCCCGCACTCAGCCACATTGCGTCGACTGTACTCCCAGCATTAGACAACATACAAAGTTACTTGCTCTGAAGTCTACTTTTTTTTCTTTCTTTTTTTTTTTTTTTACTGTACACTCGCCATAACCTTTGTTCTCTCTTTTCCTCAGCACTGTACCCCTCATATTTTGGGCATGGCATGTTTTTGCTATAAAATATGTAATAAAAGTGTTATATTCACAGAGCAACTGACAAATATTTCATGGGAAAAACATGTATTGCTGCGTTAACCTCCCTACTTTATTAAATTCAGCCCCCTACCGTCAGCATGTGGGCGTTTAAAATTGCATGCATTACCCCTTTTGAGTCGTAGCATAGTATTTGAGCCAAAACATTCTTCCCAGCTGCCTCCAGGTCTTCATAGCTTCTACTCAAGAAATGATAACATGTTCTCCGGCACAATGTGTCAACCGACCGCGAGGCGCGGCCTCTTCGACCAACATCACCCATGCTTTTTGCTGTTGTACCTGAATGTGGTCTTAAAAGATAATAATGTGCTGTTGGGCTGTATTATTATTGTTTGTTTGTTTTGTTTTTCTTTCAATTCGGAATGAACCTGTAGAAGATCGGCAATTTCTGAAACCTCAAGATCTTATCAAGGTACTTCCACTAGTTTCTGGATTCACATTGGACATTCCACCTCTGTCCGTATGGACACTTGTCAATCAACTCCTGCTACATGTACGTTTTGCTGTAAAATCACTACACACACGGGGGGGCTGTGACAGTTCCCCAACCTCATTTTTTTGGACCAGTTGTCAGTGTAAGAGGGATATCATCATAACACTATTTTTTTTTTCCTCTCTGATGGATGATTGTTGACTGTAAATTATTGACAGCTTCAGATGACTGTAAAACACCTAACCGCTTACTTAGACTTTATACGACTTTTTTTTTTTTTTTTGCCACTTATTCAATTGTAGTTAACAACATGACCATTAACCAATGAAACTGCAATGTCATTTTACTACAGTATGAATGCATTTCTGTCTGTATAACCCAGATCTTGTGCTTTAGTCTTCAAATGTGTTTCACCAAATGTCAAGAGTATGGTACCTTCAAGTATATTAAAAAGAGAAGAAAAAAAAAGTTGTAAAAAAAAAATAACGTGTCGAAATGGTGTTGGTTGGAAAAAGATCATTTGTAAGTTGTCTTGTGAAACTTTTTCTGAGAATAACTGTTATCTGTGCCATAAAAAAATAGTCGATCTGATCTGTTGCTACTATGAGTTGGATTTTTAGGATGCCCCAACAAGAAGTAACTTTCATTGGCACTTTCCTGAGGGATATTTAGGCATCGGTCATCTCCAGACTTTTGTGGAATATGTACAGAATTAAACCTAAAAAAAAAAGACTAGTAAGTGTCTTTACTTCCCCCATTGAGATTCGTGTTCTACAACAAAATCTGCTCTTTCAAATGCCATGAATTGATGAATCGTGTTTACGGACAGATCAAATAAAAGAAATTCCAACCAAAGGTTAAGCCAGTGCGTCGTGTCTCTTCTGATTTATATATTTTAACTTGTTTAGATTGAGAGAGGAATCAAATTGGAGGGTTTTTTTTATTTCATTTCCCAAAACCAAATAACTTGAAATAAAAATGTTGAGACCCACAAGGTTTTAGATGTTTTAGGATCTTTTCCAAGTGTTAAGAAATGCAGTCACTTGAACCAAACCTGAACCAGACTAATGCATGAAAGCTCAACATTTGGTAAAATAATAATGTGTAGAGAATAATGCTGTAATGGCTGTGTTTACTCAAAGCTTTATTCTGTCAATATAATCCATAAACCAGCTGTATTTGTTGATGGGCGGCCTGCACAAAGCATTGAACTGATTGCTCTGGGTAATAGAACCAGAATGTAACAAATATTTTTAATAATTCAGATTCTATTTATACCTCGTTGATTTTTTTATTGTGTGAATAACCAATCATATATTCATCATTTAAAAAAAAATTATATTAGTTGCAGTGCACCTTTCTTTTAAAGACCCAGTGGTGTGTATGTCTAACGATCAATTGGCAGCAGCTGCTGCGCTCAGGTGTGAGCTTGAGCCCAATAAGTGACCCACCTGCCTGTTTTAAAGTGATCTTGCAGAGCTGTGGTTTGTAAGAGGAGTCGAGTGTTTGCCTCTCACCTCTGCTCTGTGCTTGTCTTTGCCCTAATGGCGTACAATGAGAGCGGGGTTGCCAGGATTGTACTATGTTTAGGACTTCTCCTGGTCAGCTCTCGTTCGTTCTGCAGCTCTAGAGCCCTGACAGGGCTCGAAGCGTTGCATAAATTAAAGGAAAACTCCACGCTCAGCAAAGCTCCAGTCATAGAAAGTGCCCTGCACTATGGCAAGCTCTTAATTGGCCCAAACCCTCAGCAAAGTGCTCAGCGCCGTGGTACCAGGAGCCAGAGGAAGCAAGCTGATGTTGACAAGGACTATCAGAGTGACATGGGTATGTGATATGCTATAGTTTGCTTTCTCTGAATTGTTTGATGTGTTTAAGGCCAGTAATTGTGAAATAATTATCCCGGGTGTGCTCTTGGGATCAGTTGTGGCATTCTAATGTTTTCGAAGACTGCAATTTCTTAAATAATTGTATAGTTAAATGTTACTAGGCATGGTATTTTGTCTACTAAAAAAATGTTTAATCCAGGGCAGTGTTTGTCTTCTGACATATTCCTTTAGCGTTTGTATGTTCTTAAAAATAAAACAAGTCAAAAATTGTACTGTTTCTGTGCTTTTTGAATCAGTTCCACTTGCAATGATTTTTCAAATGGGTGCAATGATGATGGTAAGAAGAGTGGCTACTATTGTATGTATGTCCCTGAACTGTCTGTATCAAACAAGTAGCTCTTTTCTAGTTCTTTTTTTTGTTTGTTTTTTTTAGTATTTTGGGGGGGTTTCACACAATCATCTGACCTGGGGAAGGGTTGGGGTTTTCACACAATCATCTGACCAGGGGAAGAGAACAATACTAGTTTAAGTAATTTTGGGGGGTTTTCACACAATCATCTGACCTGGGGAAGAGAACAATACTAGTTTAAGTAAACTATGCCTTCTTAAGGTTGGGCAGAGCCCTGGCAACCCAAAGGAAGAACCGAAGAGGCTCTGGTGCTAAAACAAGA